CTGTTCGATCTCCTCCCCATACGGTAGCAGAGTAGCGCATTCAGCCTCGGCGGGTGGCCGTCGCGCCGGCTTTCCCGCACGCCCTGGATGCTTTGCTCCTCACGTGACTAAATTTGGCGAATAGCGGCGCCGCGCGCGCCGCCGCGCATGGAAAAGAGGAGGAGGAGCCAGTGACCAACGCGCCCGGTGGGCATTCACTATTGGCCCTCTCCTCCCCCCATCTTCATTCGCAACGCTTAGTAGTAGTAGTAGAAGAGGAGGAGGAGGCGAAAGCAGGGGAACATACGCCGAGGCGCATGTAACGTCGGCGGAGCGACCGTAGAGGTGGCTTTCTTGCACAGCGCTGGAGGCTTTGCTCCTCACGTGATCGATCTCGGCGAATAGCGGCGTGGCGGCGCAGGGAAAACAAATGCGCAGCTCTGCTCCCCCTTCGGGGGAGCATATCGAGGAACTCTAGTTACAACCGAGCCGTTCGAAGAACCGGTGGGGTGACGAGCGTGTGGCTGGCCTAAAAAGCACGTAGCTTCCACATCACTGTCAGCTTAGGGTTGAGCGGGGTGGGAAAAGTAAATTTTGTCCAAATTTTGAGCGACGGGCTAATCTTCTAGGGGGAGAATGGATGTGTTCGGATACACAAACGAGGGTTCGGTACAATGCGCGATTTGTGAGTTGAAGAAAGCTATGAAGGAAAATGTTGAATTCCAAAGAGCGGCGCTGCTCCGATGGAACTTGCTACGTTATGAATACGTAGCAAGTTCCCCAACGTTGCTAGATTACGTCCCAAATAGGCTCCACAAGCATCCACCAGGTGCACATTGAAAGATCGTTTAATTAGCTTTACAATTAGTTTTTTTGTGGCTTTCAACGAAACACTGGTACCTTTGAGGTTATGCTGCAACGCAACACATTAAAGCTAAAAAATGAGCGCTGGAATTTCGTTTCCGTACCACTTAAAAATACAAAGATGCACAAAATTACAAATATTTGAAAGGACACACATACAAGTTTGCAGAGCAAATACAACCTTACAGTAACTCTTGGTTGGATAAAATGCACTTTTGCAAGGCCGACTTGAAAGTTGAAACTAACAAAATCAAGAAAAATTCTACGTCACGATCGCATATAATATTAAAGGCAGACTGCATACGACATAATGGCGATGATTTAGAAATTGTAGTAGGATAAAATGTTTAAAAAAATGGCGACTAGCTGTGGAGGGTACATGAAAGTCTATATTCATAAATAAACTTCATTTTAACAGTACCTTATTAGGAAAATGAATGTCCCTAACAGCCCTCCTCGTTGATAGCCTTTCAAGTCTAAATAAAGACAGCAACAAATCGTAACTAAAAAACAGTTGCCGACAAATGTATCGGTCATAAATGATCCACATAAATTTCTTCTGTACACGCTCAATCATTTCAACATGTGTTAAAGAGAATGAATTCCATGTAACAGAACCAAATCCAAGTCCCGAGCGTGCAAGGCTACAGAACAGAGGCACCAGAGATAATAATGAAGTGAAAGAAGTTGATAACTGAGTGATCATTCCCAACTTTCTTATCGTTGAACCAACGATCTTAGAAACGTGCGCAGTAAATGATAGAGTACTATCAAATTTTCCTGTCACCCAATTCCGCAACCAACAGCAGTGATATGATTGGCCTAAACCGTTTTGGAGCACCTTTCAGAGCAGCCAAAACAGTGTTTTGGAACAGCAAAAGCGGCCTTTGGAGCAGCCAAAACAGTGTTTCGGAGCAGCAGAAGTGACTTTTTGAGCAGCCGAAACAGTGTTTCAGAGCAGCAAAAGTGGCTTTCGAAACAAATATTCTTAGAAAAAAAAATTGTTTTAAGTGCTGGACAAACGAAGGGCACTTTGCTGGGCGAAATAAACAAATTATGGTCAAGTTCGACCACCTGGGAGTCCTTCAAGATGTAACAGAAATGTCAATGATATGGCACAATTTGCAATGCTCCATTTAAATGATACGTACATATGTACCCACTATAGATAGATAAGAACCAAACTTCACGTATTAAAATTTATTTGACGATGACTAGCATAGTAGCAAATATTACAGAATTAGGTTAACTAGTTATATAATATAATAAATGGAAGCAGTCTCCGACTGATAAAACACATAACTACTGCAGTGCAATGCGAAATTGTACACAAGAAAAAGGTGCATTACGACAGGCGGGTACTTTTTGCTTTACGAAACTCTCTGCAAGGCTGCTGCAAGCTTCGCTTTGGCTTAGGCTAGTAAGGAATGTCCACTAACAATGTCTCCAAAGAGACATTGAGACATCCCACAAGTGTAAGTGCTGTAGGCATTGCCAAGCAATTACGAAAAAACCGCTTGCCACCGTTTTACTGATTCCCGATGTGCCAGATGTTCGTCAAAAGTAAACGCAAAACAGTGAATTGCAAGCGTCTCGGCTGGTGCCTCTGTCATGCTATCATGTTCATATGCACGTGAAAGCAACTTCGGCAGGCCTGCAGCTGCACGTGCTTCGTCGCGCGAGCGGAGACGGCTATTCCATCGAAACCGAAACCATGCCACTCCGCTCCGTCGCCAACTGGTTTCCAAAAATCTGTGCAAAATGTAACTGCTCAGCATGCGACAAAAAACAGTCCAGCGGGGCGCGTACTTGCAAGGCCGGCAGGCGAGGTACAACCTAACTCACAGAAAAAAAGAACCTGAGCGCATCGATGCAGGACATCGCGAGCCAGGGTCAGAACGTTCTCGAAATGCTTTGTGCAACGACTGAACCCGAGACAACCAAGCGCGCTGTGTGGGTTCAGCGTGCAGACATTGCCTTCTTTGCCTTTAGCTCACTTCTCTTCACCAACTTTCTTTCGAGACAGATTTTTCACGTTCCGGGGTTTCTCTCGAAAGAAAGCCCACCAAGAGAAACCTAGGTGATCAATACTGCGAGACAGCAGTCTTTGAGTTATAAAGGAATTTTTTGTAGTAGCGTATGTTTTAAACAAGAACAGGAATGCTGATGGACATGCGGCGGTCCTTATGTTTCAGTTTACGAAGCTCCATATCTGCAGCGACGTGTGGATAGGCAGGCAGGGACCAAAAATAGTTTTCCCAAGGCCGTTGCTTTCAGGAGCGAGTGCTTCAGCTCACAAAGTACCTCCCGCCGCGCAAAAACGTGGTTTCGTTTCACAGCGTGACGGCATGGCTGGGACCCAGCACGTTACTGTCGGAGCGTCCGCACACGCCCGCATCTATCGTTGAAAAAAAAAAAAAAAAAGTAAAAGCCGTTTACAACTCCCTGTAACGCCGAATTGGAGCGCAGCTCTTGAGGAGGAGGAGGGAAGGGTATTGAGAGGAGTGTAGACCCCTCCTCCCCTCATCTTTTAATATGCTCCGGGGGGATCACCTGACCTCGGGGGGGGGGGGGGGGGGGGGGTGTCGCGTGACTTCGGGGGGGGGGGGGTGGGAGGGGGGGCTACGTGACCTCGGGGGGGGGGGGGGGGGTCACGTTACCTTGGAAGGGGTCACGTGACCTGGGGGTGACACGACCTTGGGAGGGGTCACGTACGTGACCTTGGGGTGACCTTGGTTACGCCAACGGCGACGGCGACGGAGAGGGCGACGCCGCTCAAGCCGGAAAAGGGCGCCTAAAGCGCGAAACACATGTACGACGAAACCGCCCGATCCGACGTCCGACCGCGCAATACGACGGTCGGAGGCGAGCGTTTTCCACGCTCTCCGATGCTACGAAAACCCTCTCCCCCCCAAGGTCATTCCGGCAGTCCGCACGTCGGATCGGACGGTTTCGTCGTACATGGGTTTCGCGCTTAAAGCGCGATCCAAACCAACGCTTCTTTTTGCGCCTGTAGGTCGTGCGGCTGCGGATGTGACGCATTTCGTGGCGTTTTTGCTGTTTCCGGGCGCGCTTTCTGAGTCAGAACCGTGCGCTTTGGTTTGGACGAGCGAAACTTCGGCACGAGCGCACAAGCAAAGTGCAACTGCGACAGACTGGCCGGCCAGACGGCGAGAGAAAGAGAGAGAGAGAGATCGCGTTGTCATGTTGGAAGATAATAAATGGGGGGGAGGAGAGGGCAGCCAGACGGCGAGAAACGCGGAGCCGGAACTAGCTTGCCCTCCACCGATTGGCCGGGACACAGGAGCGCCCTACTACGTCACCGCGCGTTTTTGTGCGCGTTGAGAAGAAGTTGAAATTATCCAACTTTCTTGTGCGCGCCCGGAAGGAGCGAAGAAGCGGCGCGACGTCACGAAAATACGTCACATCCGCAGCCGCACGACCTACAGGCGCAAAAAGAAGCGTTGGTTTGGATCGCGCTTAAGAGCTGCGCTCTAAAAGACGCGAGACGAGACCCACGAGACGACGAGAGCGCGAAAGAACAGACGGCGGGAAAAACCATGCGAGACCGGATAGACGATTGATGCAGGGTACTTTGTGTCGGGCGGCCGCTTGCGCCACCTAGATCACGCATGCTCAACTACGGTACTCAGTTTAGTTTCGAAAGGTGACCAAAATCTGGTCCTTTAACGCAGGCTTGGCGCAGATTACCCATATTTTGGCAAAATGTAGCAGGATGTAGCAGGGTTAGCCCCTTGGCGCAGTTTGGCGCAATTGGCGCAGCAATCACATCACTGCCAGTAGTAAGGACAGGACCAAAGACCTCACATATCGCGCGCTTTCGGCACCGCGGGTCGCCCCCAAAGGTAGAGGTTTCCGTGTCGTTCGGTTAAAATATGACGCACTGATATTTAATTACTCTCTCCATACCCGCTGGCTTCCATGAACCCCAAGAGACGTGGAAACCATAAAAAAGTTAGACGCTTAAATATGATTGCAGGGCTCCTTTAAGATAAAGTTTGCTGCCAATTTTTTAACAAAAAATCGCGAGAGCAACAATTTTCAATTGACTTAAGTACCCATGTAACACTGTGCTCTGGGTCGACCTACAGATATTGGAGAGCCAACCACATTAACCGTATCAGAAACCAATGAACTATGAAGGAAGAAAGTGCTTTATTTACAGATATCACAGCAAGCTTGAGGCCGAACCAAGAGCTATCCCTCATCTTCAAAGTCCTCGTCCTCTTCATCCTCCTCCTCCTCTTCAATGTCGTTACCAAATGCAGCCCTGGTTAACACTGCATAAAAAGAAAAAAAAAGTTTTTATTTTTGTTTTGTTTATTTGTGTAAAGTGACTACGATTAACACCTCAAGTTCTCAACTAGTGCCAATAATGTGTAGTATGTGCATCCATAATGTTCTATTACTGGGCGTAGGACAAAATGAACACAAACAAAAAATGACCTCAGACAAAATGGTCCCAAGCACAAACCCGGACAGAATGGACCCAAGTGAATTCCTTGGCATCTTGGACGCTCTTCAATGCTTTAGTGGTTTGCATTTTCTTAAAGGGGCACTGACACATCAAAATCATATTTTTTTTTTATTATCCGAAACGATTGAAAACGATGCCGGGACATTACCCTCAAAATTTGAAATTTGGGAATTCAGTATTTGTGAAGTAAAAAAACAATTTCCAAATGCCGAATTCGAAGTTCCCGCGCGGTCGGCGCCGGTGCCTTGACGTCAAAAATTGCGGAGACCTGAGAGTCGACTTCCTTTCACCACTCCCTGCTGTTGCCATGGCGACCCAAAGCGAGGAGGAAAGGAGTGCGCGGCGGCGTTGCGGCGGACGAGTTTTGAGCGGTGTCGCCTGTTTTCCGTTGGAGGATACAAATCCAGGAGACGGCACCACAACGAACTCCCGATTTTTGGTCTTTTAAAAAGAAGGGCCGTAGTGCGTTCGCAATTGCGTTAAAAAACATGTTTTAGGATTGCCGTAATTAAATGTTATAGAGATGTCGCCTACAAAGCTTCTAAATTTCCTGATTTTTGACGTCACCGATCAAAAGAAGCGAGGAGGCGAGAGGCGGGAAAATCAAACGCCAAAAATAAAAAGGCGCGCGCGCGCGCGGGAAAATTTTTTTTCGCGATGCGGTTTTTTTTGCGTGTCTATGACTGCAACTTGCATCGTTTTAGACAATAAAAATAAATACGACCTTTGGGGTGTCAGTGCCCCTTTAAGCTTAATATATGCGAATCAATGCAGATTGTTGGGCTAGTTGGTACTGGGAATTTGACGTCATGATGGCGCTTAAGACGAGGACAAAAGGGAGACAGACAAGACGGAGCGCTGATATGCATTTAGAGTACATTTGATTATGTTTAAGCCTTTCAGGATATGTACAGGTCTCATCAGACTTATCCCAAACATGGTAACGGCGTCTTATCCTATGAGAGCACCATCCTAGTGGCAATCGGAGAACTGCTCCACAACGTAGCGCTTATTGGAATAGCTCGAGCAGTGGCCACTGCAGCGATTTTGCCGGCTGGCAAATCTTTACTTATTGCCACCTTTTCGCATGAAGGTGCATGGGGGACCATCAAAACAACCAGTGATTGGATGATTCAGTCAGTAAGCACTTGACGTTTCCACTGAACGAGGGGAAAAGTGTAAATTGCTTCGCTGGCGGCCTCTCCTGCTCCAACTGCTACACTGAGCTTTACATAATGGTGTAGTTTTTCGGCTGCCGGTAGGATAGCACTCCCATGAGGTTAGACACTGTTTGCACGTTCAGGACATGTCTGGCAAAAACTGTAGTAGACTGTAACAGGCAGCGTTATGACTGTAAGGCAGCCGATATCTAGGGATGCCTTGTGGGTATGTGACCAAAACAGTCTCATCTTGCTAATATAAATATTTTTGCTGGTTTAAAATTCCCAAGGAACACAATGCAGCTACAAAATGTCCAGGAAGAAAGGCATTCATTATGCACCTACTAGAAGTTTTCAGTAGGGTGTTATGAAAATTCCTCAATATAATAAAGTGTTGCATCTTCGAAGTGGAGATCACTCTAGGTAAGCAATGCATCACATTACTACTCTACACGAAAACATAAAAAAATATAATTTGAAAACATATGTCAATTTATGACACAGGGCTTTTTAAAGAGCAACTTGATGAAAAATAAGAGAACTTGCATTAGTTTGTTTTTAGCCCTGATGAGGCAAAGTTTGGAGCCACCAGAAGAGGCAAGATTAGGTGATTAGCTAACAAAAAGACCAAAAAGTGTTGACAATTTTCAAATTACCAGTTTTAAAGGGCAACTGCGGTCCATAGTTTCGATTTTGGGATTATGATTGTTTTAGCGCAGTCAGCGTCCCTGAATTACAAGGTGTAATTTTTTTCTCGGTATTGTGCGTAGTTTTGAAGATATGGACGCCTCAAAGTTTTGTTTGGGGCGCGGTCGACAAAACCGAAACTAGCCGCTTGAGGTCCCGGCAGCACTGGAAATCAGCTGCTAGCACAGCTGGGAACAGGCGGGACAGAGGAAAATTGGGACTCCCTCCCGCGTGGCTTTGGCTCAGTCTCAACCCTGTCTCCCAGTGGGTCCGGTGCTGGGGTAATGCCGAAAAGGTCTGACCAGAGGAAAATTGGCGACTCCCTCGCCAGGGGGAAGAGGCAGGGGGGTGATGTTTTTTTAGTTTTTTTGCCCGATCCCCCGAAGGTCATCCTGGTGATATCCCACACTGCCTGGTGATAGTTAGGGGGAGAAAAATTGGTCTTAAAAGGGCAGGAGGAATCACGTTTTTGTCTTTTTAGACTTAGGCTAGGTGGCGCAAGCTACCGCCCGTTACAAAGGGAATAGCCATTAACATCCATCCATCCATCCGGCGTACTTGACATCACGATCGTTCTCGTTCAACGAGTATGCGGTCCAAGCGGCACGACAGCACCTGCGTCTGTGGCGCTAGCCATTTAAAGTTAAAAGGTAAGCTGCTTTCGTTAGCGCTCCCTGGGCGGCACCATTTTGTTCGACAGCAGCGCCCTCTCCATACATCCGGGAAATTCAGCGGGTTCGGCGGGGTAAAACGAGAGAGGGCACGCGCCCGACTCCGCTAGCAGACGACAAACCGAGAGGTTGCCATTCTCCATCTTTGGGCTGTATAGACCGTTCCATTAGGGTCATAGCAGAGAGGGTAAAAGAGAAAGAAATGCACTCCCCCTCTTACCCCGTATGTCGTCCACTCCGCCGAGTGGGCTGTAGCTAGCGTCCGGCTGGCGTGCAAACTCTGTTTAAAATCGCGTCATTTTGGAACTTTCAAGCGCAGATGCGCAGATTTTGGTATGCCAGTTGTCGTGTAATATTATGCTAGATAAAAAGACTCACAGGGCCCAATTGCGCTGTTACCTGCGTGCAAAAAAAAAAAAAAAAGGAAAACTGTGTCAGACTGGCCGGTCTCCTTGGCGAAAAGTAAATCCGGTTGCTGTACCTTTTTTACTCTACAAAAATTCGTACTGGTGTAGGCCTTTAGTGACCATGAGTGGAAGTCTGAAATAAATAAAACGTGCTGTCCTGCTGCAATACAAGCAGTTGTTGAGGGTAGTACTACCGGCTGGCTCAACTGCTATTTAAGTAACGGAAAAATATATATGCTAGTTGATCATTTAGCAAAATAGAACAACAGAGAGCTATAGGCTGATTTTGGAGTAGCCACAACTATTCTAAGAACGCGAACCACTTCATAACGGCAGCTACGAGCGAGAGTTCGATGTTCGGTAGAGCCCGCCGATACAGCCCAAAGATGGAGAACGGCAACCTCCCGGTTTGTCGTCTGCAAGCGGAGTCGGCGGCGTGCCCTCGCTCTCGTTTTACCCCGCCGAACCCGCTGAACTTCCCGGATGTGTGGAGAGGGCGCTGCGGTGAACAAAATGGTGCCGCCCAGAGAGCGCTAAATGGAATGGTCTATACCGGCGGGCTGTACGGAACACCGAACTCTCGCTCGTGGCTGCAGTTGTGAAGTGGTTCGCGTTCTTAGAATAGTTGTGGCTACTCCAAAATCAGCCTATAGCTCTCTGTTGTTCTAGTTTGGTAAATGATCAACTAGCATATCTTTTTTCCGTTACTTATATAGCAGTCGAGTCAGCCGGCAGTACTAGCCTCAACTACTGCGTATATTGTGGTAGGAGAGCACGTTTTTATTCATTATTTCAGACTTCCACTCATGGTCGCTAAAGGCCTACACCAGTACGAACTTTGTATAGTAAAAAAGGTGCAGCAACCGGATTTACTTTTCGCCGGAGAGACCACCCAATCTGACACAGTTTTCCCTATTTCTTTTTTATTTGCACGCAGGTAACAGCGCAATTGAACCCTGTTAGTCTTGTTTTATCTAGCATAGTATTACACAATAACTGGCATATCAAAAACTGCGCTTGAAATTTCCAAAATGATACGATTTTAAACAGAGTTTGCACGCCAGCCGGATGCCAGGTACTGCCCACTCGGGAGAGCAGACGACATACGGGGTGAGAAGGGGAGGGCATTTTAATCTCTTTTTACCCTCTCTGCTATGACTCTAATGGAACGGTCTATACGTGGTAGATATCCAGCATATGTAGCAATAGTTAGTGCGTATACCCAAAAGCTAGCGACTGGCAGGCGAGTGAACTCGTTCGGAGCCGGTGTACGACGCCGATCTTATTACCCCTCCGCTTTGACCATGGTAGTGGGTGTGGCGTACGCCAAAATAAATACCGTAGTTGTTTATTTTGCTAAAACGGCGAAAGTAACTTTCTGCGGCAAAATACCCCGATTGTTTGTTGCTGTTTGTATGAGCGGTGGAACGTGCGCGCGGCAGGCGTTGATTAAATTTGTACCCGGCGGCCGTCACCCATGTGTGCGCTTGTCCGTACTGATCTGTAGGCCTAAATTGTCATCGGGGCTCCGTGGATGGAGTGACATTGCTCTATACACCGCGCTGCCAGTGACGTACAGTACCCGGGGGGCCCTCGCTGTGCGTGCGCTTGTCCGTACTTGTACCTGGGCTTCTTGCTTTCGCGCTGGGGGTCAGTCCCACACATGAAGCTTTGGGGCTCTCCGGCGCGGGCCGCGGCCGTCCGAACACGCGTGTGCTGGGCTGTATACGTTTGTTTATTCGTCTTTTTTTTTTCCTTAGGCATGTAAAAAGCGAGTTTGTAAGTTATGACACTGTAATTTACCAGATAAGTTTGTTTAGGTGGTGGATCTAATTTGTGAAAATATCAAACAAAAGGCTTGCCGCACTCAAAAGAAACACAAAAAAACTTAATGGTTGTAGTCTACATACCCACCATTCCACATTCAACGGAGCGTGAATGCTCCATGTTCAACACTGCATTTGACAATGACTGCTTTATTGATCTGGATGCTTTTATCATGTTTACCTTTTGTGTAAGACATGCCACTTAGTAATGCGAAGTTCATTGCTATGCTAACTGCACGTTTTACCTTACGTCTTCACAATGGTCCGGCTGGAATCATCCTTTTCACTAATTTAATGCAGGACGTATATCGACAACCTGCAAATGTTCTTTTTTTATCTCTGCCTCCTTTCTCCATATGGGATAAATAAAGCACTTGATTTTGAATCCCCGCATCAAGGTCGTGTGCCAATTTCCAAACTGAGCGGGCTTCTTTTTTTTCAGCAGACACATTGTTTAGTGAAGACATCGAAGACGACGATAGCTGGAGCCTTAACCCATATGCACACGACCCACTGCCACGTGCTGATGAACTTCGCAGGAAGTGTGCTTCCGTCTGACACCACGATGCACGCGAGTGCACACTGAGTTGCTCGCTACAACGAGCCTTGGAGTCCTCACAAGCAAATAAATAAAAAGGCTATACGGAAGCTACATGAGCTACAGATAAAAGCAACGGCTAAACACCCCAAGCACCAGCCGAAGTAGCGGCAGTAGCATCTAAAAAAAGCGCACTTTCCCCGCTTGACCGCGCAACGGGCAAGCCCGTCCGCACTGGAAAAAAAAAAAATGATTGTGACGTCACGGCCCAAGGTTGCTTTAGCGATCGGTGACACCGCTGGCGGCCTGCTAAGAAGCGGCTGTTCACAGCGGATCGCATTTTTATTACTGGCATTGGTTGGGAATGCGGCGTTCGCTTAACGTATTATTTTGGCTGGGGTCGTATTTAGTGCCACTAAAGCGATACCAGTAATTTGTTCCCTTTTGAATTTTGGCCGGAGTTGCCCTTTAGGGCATAATGCAGGTGTGGAATTGACGCTCAACCTCTTTATCATCTAACCGTAACAAGAAATTTTGATTAAAAAATCTGCAGCGAGCACTACGGCATGAGAAATGTCGTAGCACTAGGGAGATTTGTCCGAATCCCCTTAATGCCATGCATTGTGAGTAATTACAATGCAGGCTTGTACACGCCGTTCACCTGCACTGCTTGCAGCTGTTCCTGCTTACTTTTAAGTACCAGCTGCAACGCTCATAGCGTGCAGACGACCACCAGCATGACAGACCAAATTATGTCGGTACAGCCTATCCATAACTAGAAGTTTTCCAGCCATGCAGTGGAACACTGCCTGTGTTATCATTACCTGATGGGCCCAACACAGCTGCTGGTTGTAGTTGTGTTGCTACAATGATCTGACATCACTCAGATGGGTGCTAACCCTATCACCTGACATGGCTAGAACACTTGCTACCAGTGCTGCTATTGTCCGATATAAGTGGAACATGCGCTGTCTGTGTTGCTTACACCACTTAGTGTGATTGGAACAAATATTCGCCTGCACTGCTACCATTGTTCATGCATTCTGGGACAAGTGGAATATGGGTTTCTATTATCTTTACAGCCTTCTCTAGAACAAAATAATCAGCCACTAAAAGCATTTATGTAGCCTGTTACCTTGAGCGTATGTCATCCTTTCTCAAGGCAAAACAAAAACCTGAGATTGAGGAACACATAGGAAAGGGGACAACCACAAGAGGGTGATCCCCCTTCCAATGAGGTCATCAACCCCAGGTGTGTGTGGTCGTTATTATTACTCCTTTTGTCTCGGGAAAGTCACGGCGCCGCAGAAAAGTAACCATAAGTTGGTGATAGGTCAAGGGAAAGTTCCTCCCACCTTTCTACCCTTTAGCACGGTGAACGCTGGAGAGGAGGTCGCAGCGTTCGCTTTGCTAAAGTGGAAAGAGATGGGAGGAGCTTCCCCTGAACTCTTCACCTGTTATGGATTGTCACCCATACCACGAAAGCCAGCGACGCCGCACCTACTGATGATGCGATGAGATCGCACAATATGGCAGAGGCGCTGACGCTACGCTTAGTATGGAGCTTGTGAAAAGTTTGTGAACGACCATTTCGAGTCCAACTCACGGTTCAACTCTTCCTGCACGCTGAGGTTGATGTCTTCGATGTTCATGGCTTCGACGGCCGAGTTGTCCACTAGGCTGCTCGGTCCAGGATTCTGTGGTTTGGAAGAACAAGATCATTTTACAAGAACGCCACATAACAATGCTTGCATTTCGTCTATACAAGAAGAACGCGCAGTTGCGCGTTTAACGACGAAACGCCGCCAAGACGCGTTGCTCACCGAAGCTGAAGCTTGCGCAGCGTCTCCCGTACTCTCTTCGAAGCGGTTTTCGCGAAGGGCACTTATGATGTTCATCTCTTCCACCTTCAGTTTGTTCAGCTGCTGCTGCAGCTTGCTCAACATGGACAAAATTAAATTCTCTTCTTCCCGAAGGTAGCGAACTAACTTCAATTCCGCCATGTTGTTTAATCGCGTCTCTCTCCTTCATGGCCTACCGCATGGCGTCGCTAGTAAGCAGCTATTTCTTTTCAGAATGGACTTCTTTGTTGTATAGTAACAATTAATAACCCTAACACTTGAACAAAGTTTAAGCATTAATATGTGTTTATTAAAATATTTTTATTTTAGAAAATCACAAACTGAGAAACTCATAGGCTATCTCGGCTAAGCCTTCTGTATGACGCAGGACGCAGGTTCTCTCCTGGATCTTTGCTGCCGTGTCTGGGATTTCGATTTCGTGCGGATTTTTCCCTTACTTTCTTCAGCATGCGCGACGTTGCAGCCTCCCCTCAATGTAATTAAGATCCAGGGGTAATGCCCAACATCTCCCTGCGTGTACGAGTTGATGTCCGTGGCAACGAATCGCCGTGAGAGGCTCTAAACCTCCGTGTAAATCGTGACAGCGAAGCTCAAGGTAAGTGCACAAGTACGACTCGGATTTTTCCTTTACTCCGAAGTCGGCGCCGACGGCACAGCAAAGCTGTAACTGCGTGAGTTCCCACCCGTGTGGGCCGATCTTGCTTACGTGAATGTCACGTCTTGTCGAGGCACGGGTGGAGATTGCCTCACTGGCACAGCGCAGTAAAAACAGCCGTGTCGAAATGTACAGGCGCTAGAAAGAGCAAGTGCAACACGGAGACGTCTTGGTCCATCGCCTGACGTATTTGGCGCAGATTCTTTGGATACTAACATTAGCACTGAGAAACTGCAGATAGAGTTGTCCTACAACTATGCAGACCTTTCCAATGGTCCTTCTCGATCCTCCAATTCTCTTCGCTTGACGCTCGCATTAGTCGTGAGGTATTCAGGCGTTTGACTGCTTGCCCTTCATCTCTTGCTTGTTCCTAGTGTGTGTGCTTTGGCGCGGTACCCACAGGGATATTTAGTGCACTTACCCTTCACCATCTCTCGCTGTGTTTGCGCCGGGGCTTTGCGATCGAGATAAGTTCGACGTGATGTCGTTTAGCATATGTGACCGGAGTGGCTGCTAGCTGAGCTCATCGTATTACCGTCTTCGTTTCTGCTGGTGGACGACCAGCGCCCAGTCATAGGGAGCCCGAGCGAGTGCGTGAGATTTAATTCATCCGGTTTGATAAGTAAAGCACTGTTGACAACAAAGCAATGCGTTCTTGTTGTTTTGGAATTGTGGCAAGATAGTTTCTTACGGAGGCCTATCTCTATCTATTCATCGTCAACTAATGTGTACCCTCATTTTGCAAGCTTGCCTGGCATACTATGACACATTGTCCAACACATTTGTCCCACTGGCACGTGTTGCCGGCATAGAAGTTTGACATTGTGAAATGAGCACCCTGGAAAACTGGCTTTTGATTCTGAGCTGACTAAAATGGCACAAATGTGGCTGACCAGAGTGCCTCTGACCACACCGCATGCAAGACAGTAGTGTTTTGTTGTCGCCAGATTTACTGTTTGCTCACTATGTTATTTAGCAGTGTCCCTCGGCGACAAAAAATTAATGCGACTCTGATTGGTTGCTCAGGGTCATGTTGACTTGTGCTTACAGTACCTGGAACACATCCCCAATTGGTGCGCTTATCACATCCTAGAAAGTGTTTCTTCAATCTTCGCCTGATGATGTCATATAGCCCCTTCCCCTGGCAAATAGCGAGCGCTCGCAGATTTGGGACTCTGAGCATTCGGTCTCGGTGGTGGAACGGCCGCACGGCAACTCTCCGGGGCACACGAGGCACCAGACGGAACTGCTCTGCACTGTGGCGTTTCCGCTGCGTAGCCGCCATCATTGCTGCTCTAGACCTTTGCATTGCTTATCACCCAGGCAAAAAATGCAGAGTCACTGAGCTGTGGAAGCATGTGCAGCATCTGATGTACTGGACAGCACAGCAACAGCGCACACTCGCAAGGCATTCCACAGCCCAGCAGACAAAGATGGCAGCACGCAGAAGGCGAATTTCCCAAAGATTTATAGCACTCATCCGGGTGTTCTCTCCACCACCACCGCCCTCCAATGCCTCACCAGGCCCGCCCCGCGTACAGCCCGAAAGCTGTTGTGCCAGACAAGTGCAACTAGTATTTACTGCCTTGGCTTATGAGACAACCGATCGACATACCCTTCCCGTGGAATAATTTATGCATCTCGACTGCAACTTCGTCTGTTTGCCGGGACAGTCGACAGCTCGGCACTGCGTCGTATCGCTTTGCCAACCTTCGAATGGCTCATAATAGGGCTTGTAACAGCACTGCACCCCTCCAATATTCTCGTAACTTTCGATCGTCAAGTGTTACTGACGCGATTGGTTTTGCTTTTCCACAAATCGGTTGGAGCCGCTCGGCAAGTGCTCCAGCAACACAGGGAAGGATCCCTCTCACCTCTTGAAGGGCACAGAAATCCAATCGGCAAGTGCGCGCTGAATGCTTGCTGTTTGCCAGGGGAAAGGGGCTAATAGAAGTGTCGTGCCGTTGCCGGCCATGATCCTGGCGGTGGTGGATGCAGCAGACGCCTGTTTTGCTGCAGGTCTCTCTCCAGCTTGACAGTCCACGAAAACTTCAACAGCCAGAAATTGAGACCCCGCAACAACAACAACACTTGCGTTCGCTCATACTTTTTGCTGGGACTTCTAGCAGCAACCGCCAGGGTCACAACATCTGACAACATGACATACCAGCTTTCGTGATGCCATTTCTTGCTACTTCAGGGCCACTTTTGATGTACGGGCGGCATAGGATGCTAAACACATCAGTCGGCAATGTCTTCCAGGCACCATACTTGTGATTCTGAAGTGAGTGCACAGTTGACCAGCCACAAATGTGACATTGTCCTAAAATGTAAGTGCAAAGACCACAACTCCCTAGCAGTCACGAGACAATATTAAGGGGTTTCGACATATTCGGTTCTGAGGTTGCCACAAACCGTAGCTGGTGAGAGGCTTACAGGCAATGCTCAGTATTCTATGGACCCCAATTAAATGGACTGGTAGAATGCTCACAATGTCATGTGGGGGATTGCAGTTCGCAATGCCAAATGGTGTATGTTGTTTGACATATCTTTTCAGAGCTCATGCCATGATTTTTGACATTCTGAACTTGGTAACCCTTTGTTGGAACTTTGAAGTGTCTAATAATACATTAGCTGCTGTCAGAGACAAATCTTGAGGTTATCTTGCTATTTCTTTGATCTGACAGTCTGACACAGTGAAAACCATAGTTGAGTGAATAAACTAGGAATGTGGCTATTGTTTTTTGCACAGTAGATATTTAAATATTTAATTGTAAACCTGAGAGGGAGGAAGCAAGGGCAAGAGGTTGCGATCCAATGTCTTCGTAATTTTGAGATCGCTGGCCAAATGCATTTTTTGACCTCTGCTCTAGTCTAGTACTTCGTGCTTGAATTAGTCCTTTTTCCTTGACAAACTTCAGCTTTTTCCAGGCAGCTCTGCTGTATTTACCAGTTTGCTTTTTTGTGTGATAAATGCCTAGACACATGGACACATGCAGGTTGGTAAAACTTAATGCCAGGAGCTGGATACAAAGTGTTTTCTTTGGGGGCAATATAACTTGTGTAGTGGGATCACCAGACTTTGGATAGGAGGGCACTGTCGTACAGTCTCCCACGCAGTCTGGCTTACCACTGCATGTTTAATGCAGCAGAGAAAGACCTGAGGCAGATGCTTCTGTTTGCTACTTCTCCGGGTTGCTCTTTTGCAGCATGGCGTCACTGCCCTGTCACGGCAGGGATGCTAAAAGAGATTGGACACAGGCGGTTCTGGGTGTCGGGTTGGATGCTTTGGAACGTCCAACTCGACTCAGTCGACCCAACTCGACTGCCTGCGTTAGTGTTTAGAGTTAATATTTTTAACGATTTCATTCACGCTTTAAAGTGGTAGCTTTGCACAAGAACCCTCCACAGACTTTCCTCGCTCGCACCCTGACCATAGCTAGCAAAGCTACGAAGAGAGTGTCAGCAACGGTGTGCCACTCAATTTACAGTCTTGTAGTTTGACACTTTCCCACGGCAGACGTTCTCTCCCGTGGTACTAGATCATGGTGTGCGCAACTAGTGGCGTCCCTCTGCTCCCGTCTAGTGCATAAAAAACAGGGGTGGGCAAATAATCTAAATTTAAAATACGAATCAAATATTTTCTTTATTTGAAGCATATTTTGATTCGAAAATTGCATATTCGGAAGTTCCCGAATATTTGGGGAAAATCATCAAATATTTGCACAAACTGTGATTATTCGAGCAAGTAACAAATAATCTGCCTGCCACACATTCCCCAAAGAATGTGTTTATTCACTGAGAAATCCGTATGATATGTGCATTATCAGTCGGCTCTGTTTCGATCTGTCCGATGGTGGCAAGACAGGATCAATTTCGGTTTCTTTTTCACCAAGCCTTTTATTGTGTGGCACTTTTATAGCCATATGTGATGTAATTGGACGTTCTAGAAATTGATACAATAAAATGAACCTATCTTGAGAGTGTTGTCTAATATAAATGTTTGAAAATTAAAAACAAAACAAGCTAGGTGCGAGCAGAACATTTCCTTGCCATCAACAACTCTGCCACTCCCGTGCAGCCAAAACGTAAACCACGCTAGCTGTGCAACTCTCTTGGTGCTGATACCGAAGTGGCTGATACCGTCCTCGCTCAAGCGTGTTCTCCGATAATGGCATCAACTGCGGATGATGAGCCACCGAGCAAGCAGGAAAAGAAAGCGAAAAAAGGTCCTCTCTGGCGGTACTGCACAAGACTCGTCGTCTACAGCTCAGTGCAAGTCGTGCGAACATGTTCTTCAAATGCCTTCGGGAGCGACCACAACTCTTCAAAATCAGATGAAAAAGCAGCCTTTGTTGATGGAAGAGTAAAAAAAAGATGCAGTAAACATGCCGTCGAAGAGTCAACCAACACTGAATGATATACTTCAACAGAGAAAGCAGCCCTTGCCACAGAAGAAAGAAAATGCACTTCATCAGAAAGTGGCAGACATGGTCGCCTTAGATCTTCAGCCTTACAGCTTTGTTGAAGACCAGGGGGTCAAGTCACTCATAAAAGAAGCTGTACCGCACTACAGTCTGCCGTCTCGAACAAAATTGTTGCGTGTGCTCGTCCCGCGCCTGTACTACGACACAAGAGCAAAGGTACGGTTCGAACTGTGAAAGGCACGTGATGACGGAACAAGCTCTCTCTTTTACGTGCAATATCTGAACCCAGCGTGCCAAAAGCATTACGTGTCATTTTTTCGCCTTGAAATTCGAGATGAAAAGGTTCACTTTGAACTCTCGACATATGCCGAAGAGTTACACGGCAGTGAACATTCCTGCTTCATTGGAGCAACTGTGCACCGAATGGGAAATACCGACTGACTGCATGAAATACATTGTTATGGGCAATGGCCGCAATATCCAAGCGGCTGCCAGGAGGCTGCCATGGTTTGGGCAAGCCTGTTTCGCACACATAGTGCATTTGGCGATCAGTGATGTGAGGACATGTACAGTCAGCACGGAATGAAATCCGAACGCCGGAACGCGTGGCCATCGACAGAGGCTGCTCCACCTGGAGGGCCCCTGAGAACTAATGAAAATGCGCCGGGGTGCGAGGGTGCAGGTCCTACTAAAATGTGTTTGACCCTCGCTCGGTGCATCAGGGACTTCCGCATTTTGCTGGTGGCGCACTGTAAATGCACGCCAGGAGGAGAAGACACCGTGCGCGTGATCCGCTGGCACGCGCGCAAGCAGCTTGCTGCTGCTCCTAGCATCGACCTTCTCGCGCTGAGCGCAAGCCGGAGGTGTCGATCAGGCGACAGTGCGGCGACACAAAAGCACCCCGAGTGACGGCGATTACAGCGCGCCACCGGCAAAACGTGGAAGTTCCAGACGCGCCGCGCGAGGGTCGATCAGATCTTAGTACATACCGCACCCTCGCACCCCGGCGCATTTTCATTAGTTCTCAGGGGCCCTCCTGGTGGAGCAGCCTCTGTCGATGGCCACGCGTTCCGGCGTTTGGGTTTCATTTCGTGCTGACTGTACACTGGCTGTCAACAAACTGCAGGAAGGTGAGATCAATTGTAGGACATTACAAGCATAGCCCTAGTGCACATAAACGACTGGACGATCTGCAGATGCAGCTGAACAAAGACATGTTTCATGTTGTTCAGGATGTTGACACAAGATGGAATAGTCAGTACCTCATGCTCCCAAGGCTCCTTCAACTCTAAGAAGCCATCACTTTGAGCTTGCCACTTTGGACACTACCATAGATGGCTTTAACTCTGCAGAGCAGAGAGATGCAGTGGAGTTTGTGGAGGCATTGAAGCCCTTGTTTGATGCAACTGGGATCACAAGTCCTGAAATGTACCCCTCATTGTCATGTCAAATTTCAAATATTCTTGGAATGCTGCGTTTTCTTGAAGGTAGCGAAGGTAACTCAAGGTTTGCTAACTATCTAAGCAAATGTATCAAGACTTGCACTGCGGAGTGTGGCTTTGATGAAGTGGCCAGACTGGCCATGTTTTTTGACCCTGGTTTCAAAGCCACAGTTCATCAGGCATTTTTCGATATGATCTGGCTGAAAGACCTTGTGACAAGGGAGCTCCAGACAGCTGACGTGGAACCGAGTGGGGACACTGCCATGTAAGCGTCGTCTTCGTGTCCACTGGTGGCATCTAGTGTATAGAACGCTTTTGACCATCTAGTGATGAACAATGATAAGACTCATTTGCTAAGGCAAGGCTTTGCTAAAAAGATTGAAAAATAAAAATGCCTCAATCAGTACCGCCTCGAGGGCACACCCGATTTAAAGCCAATTCAAATAAAAATGAATTGGATCGTATGATCAAGTGGGAATTTTCAGGAAAAGCCAATTGGAGTTAAGTGGGGATAAATGAAACCAACTATTGTAACAGCCAGTGGAACGGCCCGGGAAAACCAACCGGTACCCACGTGCTCGACTCACTGTCCAGCTCCGCTACTAAGACACGAGTGCGTCCCACAGCGGGTCCGATGGTCACTGAATGGCAACCATGAACCGCCTGGCCCCGTCGCAGTGATCACTTTTATATCCCTCGGCTCCCCTGGAGACCACCCCCGCAATCCTGCAGGGAATGAGAAGACTCAGTGGGTATCTGCCTCAGAGAGGTGTTATTTCTGCTAAAGTGCATATGTACAGACTGGGGCGTGCCACCATCTGCCGTTGTGACAGCCAACCACAAACACCGCGCGTTGCTAAGACAGCGCGAGCAAGGACACGAGGCCTAAGCATCACGAGACAAATGCACGACACTGCCATGGCAGCTGGGCTACCGAACCCACATTTTCCTATTACTTTTACTACTAGAAGGGCTAATTAAAGAACTTGTAACAAGAGGAAAGTTACAGAATACGACAAAAAGATTCTTCTGGACAGGGGCAAGGATCCTTGCGAGGGGGGGGCAGTGCATTGGCCGCTTCAAGTACCCGTATTTAAGCAAACTCGCCCAGAAGTACTTGGCCTTCCCCACTACATCAGTCCCGAGTGAAAGGGCTTTTCATACTGGTGGTTTGTTTTCCTACAGTTTGTTTTCCTACATGATAATTTGTAATGAGTGCCTTACTACAGGTACCCTGCTGCAGCCCAGTAAAATGCAGTTTCATTGATTTATTTTAAAAGGGTAATAAAACCTGCTGTTACCTCTTGTTTTGGCGCACTATGGCCCGAGTTGCTGCTGCGCCAAAAAACCCCAAATTCATTCATTCATACCTCTTGATTTGTCATTTTTTATTACTAGACACATACTCAATATTTGATTCGATATTCAAAGTCAGTTTATTGCCTTGTTCGTATTCGATTCATATTCGAAAATTTCAATATTTGCACACCCTTAGTAAAAACGGGGGCTGCAAAGTAGGATAATCTAGTAGGTGCAGATGCTTTTCACGGTCAGATTGTATGCGCAGGGGTATTTCAGAGAAAATGATGCAGTGTCCGAGAGAAGAGGTGTATGGATGAAGAAGAGAAGTCCTTTAGACATCCACAATTCCTCTGCCACGTCTCACATTGCATGTCACTCTGATAGCAAGTGCCGCTCATTTAGAAAACCCATCGAGTGCTATCCCACCCTCATCGCACTTGACGGGAAGTTTAGGCGAGGCGATTTTTGCACGGGAATAGAGCTACAGCTTGAAAGTTTATGAGGTGGAACCAACCGACGAGGAAAAATTTTGCTCGCTACGTGGAGGTACTAATTTCGTTGGCTCATTTAATGGGCCGACGCCTCCCTATATTTTGAAACGGCGCATCTGGGGCTACCGCCGTGCCAGTGTGTTCACAGTGAAATAGTTTATCTGAGATACGGGTTGGTTTTCAAAGCTTTTGTTGACATGCTCAATAAAATACCAGTGGACCACGGTTTTTAAAGGAACTAAAAAGTGGGTGACCCCAACGAAAGCCGAACCAAATGTTGTCAGCAGGTACTTTACGAAATCGGCTACAGTTCTGCGAAACATTTTCTCAGGTCTGCGACACAATGCCCTACGAAGCCACTTCTTATTTCGCTGGCTCGGTCTGCGGCAATTGTGTTTTTTGTTTGTTTAGACGGCAAAAGGTTAGTCAGCCCCAATCGGCATCTGGTGTCTCCGCCCTAGATGAGAAATTTAGCCAGTGCAGTACCACCGCTAGCCTAGGGCTTTTAACGTGCACCGTGCTGTAGCGATACACGACCGCTCGCCGGTACGTTGCTCGTCCAGATCGAAACGGGCAGGGGTGGGGCATGAGCTTTCGCTTCGCGTACTCTGAGTTGCGGTACAATGATGTGCTTTGCCATTGAAGCCCCCCTCAGTCTGCGGTTGCTCTAAATGTGCGTTTTGGACGGGTGCTGCCTTTCGTTGGCTAAGCGTTGCCTCTTCTCATTTCTATTTTAGGTGGTCCGAGATGCCCGTGGCAACAAAGCTCAAGAGCCTCTACATGGCCACCTCCATTGAGGAGCTCGACAAAAAATACAGCAAGATCGAGCTGCCATCGCCGAACATTGCAATGTGAGTACCTTGCCTTGCGACTGGCAACTGGATAAAACATTCTTGCATTTTGACCTAAAAGGTGTACTTTCTTGAACTAGCCCTCTACGGGAAAAGTTCTGGAACCTTTCGAGGAGTCGTTTTTGACTTTACATTGCTCCAGTTCTTAAAGGGATATTGAACCGAAATTTGGATTTCGCAAACTAAGGCTGCAGAAGTGTTCAACGGGACGCTACGAACTCCGAAACATCACTCATACATCGATATCTCGAACGGATGGCCGTATTTTTGGAAAAGAAGGGCGCGTTGAAGCGAGTTCTTTGACGTAACTGTCCTCCGGGAGATTTTGAGAATGAGAAGCGGCCTCGCTTCTCTCCTCCTCGCTTCAATTCACCAGCTCTACGGGACGTAGCGAGGAGGAGAGAGAATGGGAATCGTGACGTGCCTTCTCTCGTCGGCCTCGTCGGCCGGGTTTAATCGCGCACTTCTTTTCCAAAAAAATACGGCGATCCGTTAGATATCTCGCCGTAGGAGTGATATTTTTTGGTTTTGCAGCTTCCCGCCTATCCGCCCGGCCTTGTTTAGTGAGTTTGAAATTTCGGTTCAGTATCCCTTTAAATGGCCACTGACAACAAAAAATTGAGTTGTTAAAGATCTAGCAGCATAACTTTAGGGACCAAGAGCTTTAGAAAATACCGTAGTAAAATATTTATGATGCAGGAGCCAACTCAAGTTCAAGCCTTCCTTGTTGGGGGTGAAACTTTCGGAAAATTGTCCTTCTTAATTCTTGGAGATAGTAATTTTCAGTAGTGGAAAGACAAATTTCAATTGGATTTTATGGCATAACTTTTGAGTTGCTCTCAAAAGCTTTTTACACATAATTCACTTAATTTGTTTCTTTTTCTGGAGATCTGATTTATTCATTAAAACAAAGTTTAGTTCTTGCCTAGTGGTACTTTGAGGATTTTTATTAGTGTTGCGCGAATATTCAAATTTCCGAATAATACGCTATTTGTTGTTCGCTTCTAGTTAAACTCTGATATTCATATTTTTCGAAATGTTGATCGCGAGTGCACTTTTTATTGGGTATTGGTCCACTACGGAGAAACAAATCCCCGAAAATCTCTCTTCTTGGATGTTGCTTTTCCGCGGTGCACCAGTGCTCAGTAAGAAGCGTGCTCAACGGGGCTAACCCACCGCGATCAACACTTGGAAAAATACAAATATTGCAGTCATGTTCGTAAGAGGAAAGCACACTTTCAAAGCATGATGGTGCACGTGTGCGTGAGCGGTGTGTGTGTAAAAAGGAACGGAAACTTTGTGAATGTTGATATTTACGCAGCAGCAAAATTTTCAAAAGGAAACTGTGGCTATTATACAAGAGTATATGTTAGGCAGAGATGTCCTGACAATTTGCGCTCATCATTCATGATTGTCTTTTTTTATTTTCTCAAATTCTAGATTAAATAAAGAATAATTGTATATAGCAGGGGTGGCCGAGCTGCGGCTCGCGAGCCGCATATGGCTCTTTGCGTGTTAAAGTGCGGCTCGCGGCCCCCTCCCGTACCCCCCCCCCCCTCTCTTTGCCTCCCTTCCGGTCACACGAGCACTTCCCCAAGAAGAGAAATGGAACGCGTTTCAAATCGAAAGACAGGTTGCGGTTTGGTAGTCTTGTGCTACTGCTACCTTATGTACAGTTGTACTGCTCTTGACTTGGATAGATTGAACGTAGTTTGAGTTTCATTTATTGCTCTGGACAAAAGTTTGCACCCCCCCCCCCCCCCCCCCTCCGGCTCTTGGAACTTTAGTGCATTTGTTTGCGGCTCTTAGGCCGGTTCAGCCTGGCCACCCCTGGTATATAGCAAAAAGATTAATAAATCCCCTCGATTAGGTATAGCTGGGCGTCTCTATAGCTTTAATTTTATGTCAAATGCATCATTTACATGCATGTCAAATGACATGCATGTAATGATGATGCATGTGACATGCATGTCAAATGCATGTCAAATGCATGTCAAATGCATCATCATTTACTTGCCATTCCCATGTAGGCAATGAACTTTCTGAGGTCACTGCCCATAAATATAGTTAGATTAAAATTAGCTTGGCTATGGACAAATGGAGCTTCGGACCAACTATATGAGTTCAGATAGGTTTTCCTTTAGGCATATTGCAGTAGCGAAAAGCTGGAAAAAACTACCGTATTTACTCGCATATTGGTCGATACGTCGTATAGGTCGACCCCCTAACTTCGGGACCCCCGAAAAAAAAAAAAAGTTGAAAAATATAATACCGGGATTCGCGTATTGGTCGACCCCCCAGTTTTGATGAGGCGATTTTTGAAAAACAGGTCGACCTATACGCGAGTAAATACGGTATTCGATATTCAATTAAAAAATATTTGGCCAAAACCACTATTTGCTTCAATTTTGCTTCAAACTTAAAAAACACTATTTGCACGTGCCTAATCTTTATACCTCTAAAATGAAAAACCTTGTCCATTCTTTGACAATGCTATTGCATAGTAGGAATGGGTGGTATGAAATTGAACTGTAATAATTATGCTTCTTACAGTTACATACTTCTTGGTCTTCAGCTGTATCTCATTATGGAAACAATCTTTGTATGTTGTTCCTTCCTGGACAGTCGTGTTTTTTTTTCTTGATTGGCAGGTTGACCAAGCAACTGCAAGCTCTTTATGTAGTCATGGCAAGAAGTCATACAGATGTTCAAAATTCCACTTGCAGCATAGAAATTGTGCAGGAGATGGAAAACCATAGACGGAATAGGCAAACACCTTCCGCACTACGTTTTCTTGGTCAGATTTGATCGCTATTTTGAGTTCAATTGTATATTTTACCTGTATTAAATCAGTGCATATTAGAACCTCTTCGAGGAACCTTTAATTTAAGAACATTCCTAACTGGTTTCCTTGATCAGGGGGTTAGTCCTGTCGGAGTGCTACTGCAAATAAACAAAACCTGGTGAAAACCAACACAATGCATTCAGTTTGTTCCTGTAATACAAGAAAGCAGAGTCACTCTTAACCAGATTCTGCTATTTAATTGCAAGACTCTTTTATTGTTTGTTCTGCTCATGATTGGTTGAGATTTGTTTTGTTAAAAGAAATAACGAAAGTTTTTTTTTTTTTTTTGTCATATCCTTTTTTGTTAGCATTTTGGATGTGCCTTCTGGCTAGCATTTTCTGAATTTCAATGCATTTCATCCCTTCATTTGAGTATTGTCAATGCTTGTCTTTCTTTGCTGGTCGAGCAAAGATTGTCATTAGCAACATGCATGGAATAAGAGAACTATAAATCAGTAAACTTACCAGTCAATTGCAAGTTTTCTTCGAAAGGCCCTAGCGTTCGACCGTCTATTGGCTCAAGACTAAAGGGGGGAAGGGGGGGGGGGTCTCTTTTTTTAGTGGTCAAATATTTAAAGCATGCGTGAGTCATGCACCTTCAGATTAAATTACCATATCTCCAGTCTGTTCTCCAAGCATATGTTTGTGTCCGCTTTTATCCCTTAATCAGTGAGTGATTGCTGCGCCAATTGCGCCAAACTGCACCAAGGGGCTAACCCTGCTACATCCTTCTACATTTTGCCAAAATATGGGTAATCTGCGCCAAGCCTGCGCCAAAGGACCAGTTTTTGGTCGCCTTTCGAAACCGAAACTAAACTGAGTACCGTAGTTGAGCATGCGTGATCTAGGTGGCACAAGCGGCCGCCCGACACAAAGTACCCTGCATCAATCGTCTATCCGGTCTCGCATGGTTTTTCCCGCCGTCTGTTCTTTTGCGCTCTCGTTGTCTCGTGGGTCTCGTCTTGCGTCTTTTTTTTAAACATTTTTTCAACGATAGATGCGGGCGTGTGCGGACGCTCCGACACTAACGTTCTGGGTACCAGCCATGCCGTCACGCTGTGAAACGAAACCACGTTTTTGCGCGGCGGGAGGTACTTTGTGAGCTGAAGCACTTGCTCCTGAAAGCAACGGCCTTGGGAAGAGTATATTTGGTCCCTGCCTGCCTATCCGCACGTTGCTGCAGATATGGAGCTTCGTAAACTGAAACATAAGGACCGCCGCATGTCCATCAGCATTTCTGTTCTTGTTCAAAACATAGGCTACTACAAAAATTCCTTTTTAACTCAAAGACTGCTGTTTCGAAGTATTGATCACCTAGGTTTCTCTTGGTGGGCTTTCTTTCGAGAGGAACCCCGGAACGTGAAAAATCTGTCCTGAAAGAAAGTTGGTGAAGAGAAGTGAGCTAAAGGCAAAGAAGGCAATGTCTGCACGCTGAACCCACACAGCGCGCTTGTTTGTCTCGGGTTCAGTCGTTGCACAAAGCATTTCGAGAGCGTTCTGACCCTGGCTCGCGATGTCCTGCATCGATGCGCTCAGGTTCTTTTTTTCTGTGTGTTAGGTCGTACCTCGCCTGCCGGCCTTGCAAGTACGCGCCGCTGGACTGTTTTTTTGTCGCATGCTGAGCAGTTACATTTTGCACAGATTTTTGGAAACCAGTTGGCGACAAAGGGAGTGGCATGGTTTCGGTTTCGATGGAATGGCCGTCTCTGCTTGCGTGTCGAAGCACGTGCAGCTGCAAGCCTGCCGAAGTTGCTTTCCCGTGCATATGAACATGATAGCATGACAGAGGCACCAGCGGGGACGCTTGCAATTCACTGTTTTGCGTTTACTTTTGACGAATATCTGGCACATCGGGAATCAGTAAAACGGTGGCAAGCGGTTTTTTCGTAATTGCTTGGCAATGCCTACAGCACTGTACACTTGTGGGATGTCTCAATGTCTCTTTGGAGACATTGCTAGTGGACATTCCTTACTAGCCTAAGCCAAAGCGAAGCTTGCAGCAGCCTTGCAGAGAGTTTCGTAAAGCAAAAAGTACCTGCCAGTCGTAATGCACCTTTTTCTTGTGTACAATTTCGCATTGCACTGCAGTAGTTATGTGTTTTATCAGTCGGAGACTGCTTTCATTTATTATATTATATTACTAGTTAACCTAATGCTGTAATATTTGCTACTATGCTGGTCATTTTCAAATAAATTTTAATACGTGAAGTTTGGTTCTTATTTATCTATAGTGGGTACATATGTATGTATCATTTAAAGGTATGTATGTATCATTTATAGCTATTTATTTATAATCCCCCATTTTAGAAATAACTGGCACCACCTGTCAGAAAATGGGGTTCGAAGATTCTGAGGATCTAACAATGCACGTATTGTGAAGGAGAGGGAAGATGTGTCTTCAAACGCACTTGAGGGCAAAAAGATATTCCACAATAGGGGCAAAAGAGACTGGGGGAGTCTAATGACGGTCATTGCAGGGTGTGTTCAGATAAGAATTGTCAGAGTGGTGTCACGCCCATTTTTTGTTTTCAATTAAAAGTTTTCGTGAGGTAGATGAATATGTTCCCACAATGGTCAAAACCTTATTTTAGCAAGAACCTTCTTTTGTATTCAGGAGAAAAATTCGCACCTGAGGTGCGGTTAAAAACAGGACTTTCCCAATTATGTGTTGACATAATTTTGAATACACCTTAAAGGGATACTTCAACGAAATTTGAAATATTGCCGTCGTGTTCAAAAATAGGTTGAATATGATCCACAATATCCGTAAATGACAATCGCACAATTTTATTTTGATCCTGGTGGCTGTATTTTTCGTTATAAACGGCCCACTCTGGCAAGCGCTCGGAGAAGGTCCAGCTTAGAGCACGTGACATCCAACGCAATCGTGACGTAGGTCGTCTCAAGACGAGCAAAGCTACGGCGAGGCTGACGTCGAGAGGATGGCCTAGTCGTTCCAGCCACCGAAGCGGCTGCTTTTGTACGAATTTTGAGTGACGGGTTAATCTTCTATAATCTTCTAGGGGGACAATAGCGACTTCTGCGACACACAAAAGGGATTCTCGGGAAGAGGGGAGTTCCTCCTTCCCCCCTTCTCTCGTCGTGGCCGGAGACGAGACAACCTCCGTCACTAGCTGTCAGGGTTCCTAGTCCAGCATTACAAACGAGGCGTTAGCGACATCCACCAGGTGCTCTTTGCTAATCGTTTAATTCGTTTTAAAATTGCTTTTGGAGACTTTTTTAACAAGATATTGGTATGTTCCATGTGATACTGCTCTTTTGAACACATATAGACCAAAAAATGAGTGCCGAAATTTCGTTGTAGTATCCCTTTAACTGGAGCATTGCAAATTGTGCCATATCATTGACATTTCTGTTACATCTTGAAAGACCCCCAGGTGGTCGAACTTGACCATAATTTGTTTATTTCGTCGAGCAAAGAGCCCTTCGTTTGTCCTGCACTTAAAACAATTTTTTTTTTCTAAGAATATTTGTTTCAAAAGCCACTTTTGCTGCTCTGAAACACTGTTTTGGGCTGCTCATAAAGTCACTTCTGCTGCTCTGAAACACTGTTTTGGCTGCTCCAAAGGCCACTTTTGCTGCTCCAAAACACTGTTTTGGCTGCTCCGAAAGGTGCTCCAAAACGGCTTAGGCCAATCACATCACTGCTTAATGTGTGTGTTTATCTTCATTAAAGGGGCCATGCAACAATATTGGATAGGAATGTTTCTCACTTTACCCAAGCTTACTGGCACTAGTGCGACCAAAATATACTGAGGTCGCAATTCTGCCGACCGAGAAAACTTCATTTTCGCCGCAGAATTTCAAGGGCAAAAAGCGGGCATTTTCTTTCAGTTTCTTTTTTTGCAAGACTTGACAAAGTCGTGAGGTTCTCATTTTTGGCGTTGCTTGCGACAATCGACGCGTTGCGACAATCGACGCCTCAACACGCATTCGGGTTGTGGCTTGTGCTCAATTGCTGGGATGACAAGAATAGCCGAACCTTAACCATGTGTGGAATTCAGCACGTGCCCTGTGCTTTACTAACCTCGGTGCTTGGATATAGTAAATATTGGCAGCATATAATGGGCTCCAGGTCACGTGACTGCTTGTTCTGACTACAGGCTGAGTGTATGAACACTTTTCGTTTTCCGAAATTGTTTGGATGTGTCTGCCATTCCGTGAAGGAAAAAAAATTAGACGTTTACAAATCTCTGTAATGCAAAATTAGAGCGCAACATTTGAGGAGGAGGAGGAGGGGAGGGTATGGAGGTCTCCCCTCCCCTCCTCCTCCGTACCCTCCCCTCCCCCATACCCTCCCCTCCTCCCGCAGTTTCCCTGCTAAATTTGGCTGGAAAATTGACGCCACATGACCTCAACACCAATTCAGTTTCCCCGCTAAAACTAGCAGGGAAATGACGTCACATGTCTTTGTGTCACGTCACCCATGAAAAAATTCTGTTTCTCCACTAGATTTAGCAGGAAAATTGACGTCACGTGACCTCAACACCGATTCAGTTTCCCTATAAATTTAGCGGGGTGGTTTTGCTGACGACGACACCGTCGTATGCGAAAATGGGTGCCTAAGAGCTGCGCTCCAAAAACAAACCTGCGTTTCATTGGTCATGAATGTCAAGGAATAATTCTAAGTGGTACTATATACTAAAGGTTGCATTGCTTTTTTAAAGAATTCAGTTGAAAGTTATGCCGTGTCCTGTTGCGCTCCTTCACTCTGTCCTCGTTTTAACACAAAACGTGTTTTATCGGTTGACTTTCGTAGAGATCTGTATTGTTTTGGCTGTGACTTCTGGCTGTAACGAAAACGCAGCTCCGAAAGTGTTATGCCCATCGGGAACCACGTAAGGGACTCGAAAAAAGAAAGTCTTGAACTGGATTTTAACCCTTACCTTGAGATTGTAAGCCAAGTGCTTGACTGACTGAGCTATCGAGGGACGGCGTCTGCTCTCACACAAGCAAAGGCCGTGCACGACGGTTCCTCCCGCTCAGAGTCTTCTTCCGCTCCTGTCATGCTGCACCATCTCATGGCGTTTGTCAGAAACGGAAGCTAATCTTTGACACACTCCGCGGCAGGGCGACGCCCTTTGGACGCCTCTCTCTTCTTCCGCTGTGGCCGTGGCTTCTATGCAGACAACCGCAGAACATATGCGAGCTTACCAGGAACGAAAGAAACGGCAAATGATCCTTTCTAATCTTCCGCGAATTTGCCCAGTGAGCAAACGGTCACGGACATTACGTAAAAGCTGTTCTTCACACATTCTGTTCTTGCCTGCCTTTGTCAGCATAATGAAGCTTCTGTAATTTTTTCTTTCTTTTCATATTACATTACATATGAGACACAACCGACTAGCCCAATGAGTAATTTCGATTTAAATCTCCCTTTCTCATTCTGCTCACTTGAGGTCATTTTGCAGGAAGTTCACTCTCCCACCGATTGCCCACCGTTTTCAGTGCGGAGTCGCTGGGGCGTCGATGTCGCACACTTTCCCCTCATGTCCCTGTGCCTCAAGGTTTCCTTTCTTTCCGACAAACTGCCCGTGCTCCAGGGTGTGCAAGTCCACCAAGGCCATTCTCCAGAAGGCCGACCTGGACAGGGACCTGGGGGATGAGGAGCGGGCGTATGTGCTGTACATGCGCTACTTCACCATGGTGCAGCTCATCCGCAAACACAGAGACTACAAGAAGGACAAGGTAAGCCTCTGGACACTTTTCAAGGCACATTGAAAACTCTTCTTTCTTTAGCACTTGTTGCTTCGATGAAAGCGCAGAGAAAAAGAAAAGATGACGACATCGCTGCTGTTGCTATGCTTATTCTCGACGAAATGCATTGTAATTTAGCGCAAGTGTCCTGACTCGGCGAACAACGGGAGTTCCAACCTTGCAGTGTTTTTTTTTTTTCTGCTCTGACAGTTCACATACTGTTATCTTTAGAGACTCAATCAGTTCTCTCGGGCGTCGGCTATTTCGGATCCAGCCACCACGGCTTTCCTCTATCACTGCCTAAGGCTTGCATAAGGTTGTCTTCGAAGAGCCAGTCTTTCCTCCCGGGTGTCGGCGGTTTTGCACAAACGGCGTCGTCGCTGCACCCTTCTTTTACATTGTAGCTTACGTTATGCCACGGCCGCTCAATCCCCTCCTCTCCCGCTCCCGCAGCACGTCATTGGAAGCGCGCAAGAAGATGCTCTCTTTTACATAAGAGGGAAAGTGGATGTAGCGGTTAAACGACCAAAGCGAAAGAGCTTGGTGGGAACTGCGCCATGGCCTCTCGAAACCAGTACAGTTCAGTCCAGTCCAAACCATGACCGTCCAAATTTAAGGACGACTGCAAGCACAAGGGCAATAAATGCTAACACAGGCCTGCGTTTGTGGGGGTGCTTCGCTGCAGACTACGTCGAAGTACAATAGCATTGCTCATGTCTTGTGAAGGCTGTATTTAGACAATTAAATCGAGAAATCCCACGGCAGGTAACTAAGCTTCAAATGTCCGTACATTTTCATTGAAATAAATTTTCAGCCTTTCCACTCTGGTGAAGAAGGAAGAGCAGCGGAGCTGTACTATGTGCCGCCGCCGCTCATAGATGGTGGTAGCTGTCCAGAGCGTTGTGACGAGATTTATTTGTCCACGGACTCTAAACGGGGGAAACTAACCCTTAACAACTCCGCTGTAAAAAAATTCCGAGGACACCTGAGCACTTCTAATGAGTTGTGGGTGCAAAAGCGTTAATGTCCAATTGAACACTGCTGAGTGCTCCTTCGAGTTTTGTGCTGTGAGCAATGTTTTAGAGTATTGCAGCTGCGTTTGTTTTAAACTTTTACTGCTGCCGCTGGTTGAGACAGCGGCGGGAGTGCGAAGCTCGGCGCGGCGCGTGATGAAGTCACGTGTCCTCTCGTCATCATTAGCTGCGGATTCGTGACGTTAGACCTCAAAGCGTAGCGTTAGGCCTAACATCAGGCCAGCGCATACCCGCATCCCCCCCTCCCACTGCGCCACCAGCAGTTTGACTGACTCCTTAGCAACGATGACGTCTTTGCTATGGAGCCACATGACGTGTCGCAGCCACTGGGAATTTAGGTTCCGTTTTTTGCTGCTACAGACGTTTACAGACAACGCCACCTTCGCTCCATGGGACAGTTAATGCTTTCGCAGTAATAAAAATGGTCCTACTGAGCACGTCGCCACTTCTGTTCAGCTATCTCCTCTCGAGTCCTCTCATTCCCCTTGCAACGCATTGTGAATACTGTGGCGCATTTAGTGTACGCCTGGTCCAGCGTCCCGTGTATGCATGCTATAAGAAAGGGAGAATGGCGCATATATAATAGCTCTTACTTTGCAAGTCTCCCTTTTGGCACAGTAGTTGAGCGCCGGGCTCAAAATCCTGGGGTTCTGCATTTGATTCACCGTGGGAAGCATTCAGAATACAGTCAAGCCCGGTTATATCGCACTCGGGTATTTCAAATTTTTGTTTATATCAAACAGTCCAAACATCTTCTTGAAAATCACATGTAACAGTATGAGAGATTGTCTTTTTGTATCCAACTCCCATGGCGGGGACACTCTATATAGCAAACGAAGCCCAGCCGCCTGTTGCTTTTCCTGCGATCCGATTGTGCCGGTGGCGAGCGCATTGCTTGCGTTGCATGGCTAGCAGACCGCCAAGCCAGCTGCATTGCGTGGCTAGCAGACCGCCAAGCCAGCTGCATTGCATGGCTAGCAGGCTGCCAAGCCAGCTGCATTGCGTGGCTAGCAGGCTGCCAAGCCAGCATACACGTGGGAAGATACGCAGAGAAAGAGCAGTTGTGGGAAAAGAGAAACAGTGAACTGTAAAGAAAAGAGTGGAAGATGGCAAAAGCAAGGGGAAGGGCACTTGCACGTTCGGAGAGCAGGGAGTGCCCGCTTTTAGAACGGTAGCCTGCGCCCTTCCCCCAGCACTGTTGATGCTGCGTGACTCCTTAGCCCCAAAATAAAATATGAAAAAGAAATAAAATTCTTTGGCAACTCAAGTGTGTCCACAGAGTGTGCCCACAAAACTGTTGTGCAGTCACACTTTGAATTTATCTTTGTTTACTTTTTACAGCAGAGCTGTTAAGGGCTAGTTTTCCCAGGATTGTGTCCACCAGCAAAGAAATGTCGACACAACACTCTGGGCAGCTACCACCATCTCTGAGCGATGGTGGCAACCAGACAACTGGCTTGCCAGTTGTCTGGTGGGCATTGTCACTCATAGGTGGTGGTAGCTGTCCAGAGTGTTGTGTTTGCTGGATGTCTGGTTGCCACCATCGCTCAGAGATGGCGGCAACCTTTCCAGCCTTTCCAGTCTGGCTTGCCGACTTGCGTCCGGCCATTACTTCATTCCCACCATAGTACAGCTTCGCTGGTCTTCCTTCTTCACTAGAGTGGAAAGGCTGAGAGTTTTTTTCTTTTGCCGTTATTGCTTTGCCTAATTTTTTTTTTTTTTTTTTTTTCTTGCGTGAATTTAGTGAGCTTTCTTTTTTGTGGCTTGCTTAACCTTTTGCTATGGATCAATAGATTTTTTTCATGCACCTAACTTTTCCGTTGTTTTTTTTAATATTATTTTTGTGTTTTGTCGCTTATGCTGTGTGGAGTTCCCGGCCAGGTGCGCGTGTAAGCGCCGCGGTGTTTGCAGTCTCAGCCAACTACGCTGTACTGTATTTAGTGGCTCTTGAATGTTCTATTTAATACACTCCCGTTCGTTGCAAGTTTGTCTCGACCTTCGGTATTAGCAGAGATGCCAGGAAATTTCAACTCAAGCTTTTAACATATTTTTGTATATCAAATTATTGATACATTGAACTACTTTACGATCCCCTTTGAATTCTATATATCCAGGTTTGACTGTATTGATCTTTCTTGCCAATGTATCTGCTTATCACTCTCCCATGGATGCACATACGTTTCATGGGAGAGACGAAAACTTTCCAGGGGAGGCTGCCCATAAAAATGTCTTCCGAATGGCAAACAGCATTTTGCTCCGAGACCTTTGAGGGCATTTTTTAAAATGAAGCTACGGAGCTTCTTGAAAAAAATAAGTTGGAAGTGAATTCTAGTGTATTTTTACCCCGTGAACCCGAATACCCAAACCATTTGCTGCGCAAGTACTGCTAAACACGAGAAAATGCGAAAGACAGTCACTGTACGTGACGTCATCGACGAATCTTTTGGCTGCCCAAGGGAGGCGGGGCTTCAGATTTATTTTGAAATTGCTCTTATGGCTCTCCGATGCGTCGCATTGAAACATAATTGTGATATCTGTTATTCTAAAGGCCAAATGAGCGCAATTCAAGTGTTTTTTTCTCAAATTCAGAAGTGCCCCATCTTCCCTTTAAGGGTTTTATTGCTATGTTTTGATGTGGTCTCCTCATGCTTGTTTAATAGTACTTCTAAGGCCCAAGGAAAACACTTGAAGACGTCCCCTTGACCCATACAAGAAAAGGCAGGGAATTGCAGAATATCGCGTTTGGTTTCACTTTGCTACCGTCTTATTCAACATTATCTACGAAACGCTCACCAGATTTTGCTTCGCTGTTGTTTTGTTTCTCATTCATATACTAATGGACTTTATCAGGCCTTTCAAGTAGCTTAAAAAAAAGAGATCAATTAACTAATGAGTGGCTAGTGTGATTTCGTAACGCTGTCAGTAGCATGCTTCAATTTCTGGTTTTTCTTTTTGCAGACGAAGTACGATGATACGCTGATGATCAAACACTGCCCGAGGGTCATGGAGACCCTTGAGAAGCTGAAGGAGAGTTTAATAAAAAGGTACATATACGTCTTTTTTACCTCAATGATCCTGATTGCAGCTCACGAGCGCTGGGTTTACGGGGCAAACCTGGACTACTACAAGGATGCCAAGACTAGCTTTTCTGCCAACACTCAGGACAGAACAGCATTGTAAATTGTAGTGAGCATTGTATAACTCAACAAATTGTCTTGACAGCTTACCTGGAAGTAGCTTGTAGTGTTACAGATCTGCGAAAGTTTATTTTTGCTACAATTTATTCTGACACAGATGCTCGGCAGACCCATCCGCCGATTGTTAAGGGGGGTCACTGGCTAGAGGTTGAACTTCTGAACTATTCAAGTGGTCAGAATGAAATTTGCAGGGGAGATTTAACTCTGATGTAGGTGTACTGTGCAAACTTTCAGCTCTCTAGGACACATTTACATACTACCTGCTTTAGAGGATGTGTCACTCTTCGTTAAGAAATCTATGATATGCAAATGAAGCTATTAAGCACCATTTTGACTGCTTGAATTCTTGGTTTGGGATGTGGTACTTAGGGCTATCTAGTTTTTATAAGTCAAATGTAAATATTTCAGAAAGGGGGATTACCTGAAAATATAAGATGCATATCTGTCCAATGTAAATTTTTGAAAATATAGTTTTTCTTAATGAGGACTTTAACTTAAAACAAAATAAAGTAAATAGCCCGATTCCCCAGTAAATTTTGGTTCAGAAACATCTTGATTGTGGTACAAAAAAAGAAAAAAGGAAACGAGAACCCACGCTTTCCGGCGTGCAAAATGGACCGCACACTATGCTACAGAGCGCTTTGAGAGCACGCGCTGTCTCTGTGCCCGACCACGTGTTATGTTCTCCGCGCTACTCCATGCTAGATTGGTTGCACTGGCTCGTGTCATTCGCTACGGTCCATGTCAACGGCGTAGAGGAGCAGGTGCATATTTGCACACGTTCAGCTTTCCAGCAAAGGGCCCGTGTTTCGCCGTACGTTGATGGTTTTTCTGCCGTGGTGCCGTGCAATGTGAGCCCGCGCGCATTTGCTCGGGACGAATTATCCAAAGCGGGGTCTTTCCGAGTTCGAACTATCAAACTTTTCTTCCCATAGAAATGTATGGGTGCTCGCCGGGACTTTTGAACACGATCGAAATAAACGAAAAGTCGAAATAATCGAAAAGCCTCAGTTATACAACGAATATACAACAGTGTTCGAATGAGGTAAAATATGCGTAATACAATTTCACGACGACACTCGGATAAACAGTTTCCACATGTGGCCCCGTGGTTAGGGTGAGCATTCCATGAAGCCCTCTTCCTTTTTCTTTTCCTTGAAGGTATGCCCTCCTGAAGGAGGTGAAAGCAGCCGAGGCCAAGGAGCAGAAGGCAGCGGAAGAGGCGTACGCTGAGCAGCAGGGCAAGAGGACGCCAGTCGCCAAGGAGCACCTGGACGAGAGCAGCAAAACAAACGGAGAGCCAAGAACTGGCTCTTCCCCGGTGCCTGTGGCAGGTGAGTCCGAGTGCAACGTACTTGCCTCCCCTACGATCGAGGTGGGGTCTGATTTGTAATGAATTTCACGAGTTAACGAAAAGTCTCCAAACTTCGGCTGAAGATCTCTACAAGGTCTGCACCCAATATGCATACCTAGTCCGCACAGCCTGCATGGTCTGCACCTTGCGCATGTTCCGTACATAAAACAAATCTCCTACACTGCACGGCTTAAAAAATGTCCGCTTTATGAGCATTCGGTGTAGTTGCAGTCAAAGCTTTGGGCACCCGTGAGAATCGAGAAATCTTTGAAATTGCACGAGCCATTGAGCACAACGAGTGTCTATCTGAGCTGCTCCCATGCACCTCTCACTCGAATACAGTAAACCCCCTTAATTTGTCTAAAACCCTAAAATCCACTAGATAAGTTGAGTTTCGAGGTAAGCAACGTACCATTCAGTTTTGTGTACTAGATGCACGTTGTGAAAGCACGATTTGTAATCAAACAGTAATGCCTATTGCCAAGGTGGCAGTCGCCGGTTTCTGTAAAAACAAACTGCCCTTACTCAAAGTGAAACCCATAAAAAAAACTGAAAGAGCAGACACATTCGCTGCACTGGATTCATCTTCATCGTTCCTCTCACTTTTAAATACGCGAGGCTGCTCGAAATGCGACCTTGCATGCTTCAAAATTCTGATTTTCCTTTGTTGGCAGCCTTGCTTCCGAAGCCATAAGCGGCAGACAGTTGTGCCTGTGACATCCACAGTGGTAAATGTTGTGAAACCTAGTTTCCTTTGACCCTATTGAGAAACAAACAAAACACAAAACAATACCAAGATGTCTTTGAGCCTAACAGTTACTACTATTGCTCTTTTTAGGCGTGTCGTGCGTTATGGTTTGACGAAAACATCAAATCTTTGGCTGTAGGAGACATAATACAGCGATTATTTCTTGAAAACGCCTTTCGACGGCACTCCATAGAATCTGCTCCAAGGTGCAGAAAGAGGGACGTGCCACCATCTTAGACTAGATTTTCAATGGGGGAATTAAGTGTAATTTTGGGTATCTTCATGGTTAGAGCCCGTAGATTGGGTCGTCACCATAAATGGACGACCTTGGATTCCACACATGCAAAGGAAAAAAACTTTTTTTTTTAAACAGCTTAGACGGAAAAAGTATGTGCTAAAACAATATTACAACGAAGAAAAAAAGATTTTAGAGCTATATTTACGGCTTTATACGAATTTGTAGTTGGCGCCCTCCGGCGCCGCGGAAAGGTTGCCCTTATTTATCACGTGATTGGCCCTTATTTATCACGTGGTGCTTGCGCTCTTTCGGAAGCTTTGTATGGCATCTAAAAGTAACTTATTAATCTTTGTTTGAAGTATAACAAAAAACTAAGATTAATAGGTAACTTTCAGAGCCCAAAGGAAACTCCTGAAAAAGCGCAAGCAGACATGATAGACCTGTGCGCCGGACAGACAATGGCAGCGGCGCCCCGAAGCGGACGAACTTGTACTGCGGCGGCGATGGTGGCGTGGAGAAATGCTTTGAAGCGGCGTTCGCACAACGCTCAGCGTGACTTTGCGGCGGCGGCGCGCGGGCCTATCACGTGACCAGCGGCGGCTCCCGTGGGCGCCAACTAGAAGTTCGTATAGCGCCGTAAATATAGCTCTAAAAATTTTTTTTCTTCGTTGTAAAATTGTTTTACGACTTCCTTTTTCCATCTAAGCTGTTTAAAAAAAAATGTTTTTTTCCTTTGCATGTGTCCTTTAAGACACTGTAGTCAGTCAGCTGCCTCGCTTTTGCTTCTTCGTGGCTGCAGAAACATTCGTAGACGTTGCCAGGAAAGCCGACAAATGAGCGCTAATGACAATGCAACCTCGTCCCTTACCAGGGGTCATCAAGCCGGCCAAGACGTGCATCTCCAGCTTTGAGCTGTACGACCTGCTGCTGGACAACACGCTGAACCTGCTGATCTTGGATTGCCGAGAGCGGGATGATTTCTTCGAGTCACGCCTGAAGCACAGCCACTGCATCAACATCCCCGAGGAAATCCTGTCTCCGGGGTGCGTGTTTCCCCCGTTTCATCGTCTTTGGCCTCCCGCTTCCGTCACCGCCTTGTTCTGTCCACTTTCATTTGAGGATGCATTAGAGGACTTTCATCTTCTGAGTCCTCAAATGCGTGGGACGCGCCACTTAAAGGGACACTGACACCCCCCAAATTTTTTTTCCATTTTTTGCCAGACGATTTATTGTGGTGTGGGAATACTACCCAATTAATATTTTGCTACAGTGTCACATATTTTTTTATAAAGCCAAAAAACGCAACTGCTCGAAACTGAAACCCCCACACCGCACGGAGAAGTGGAGAGGAGAGAGTTAGTAAGTCGTGGAAGTCACGTGGCTACACCCGACTCTGCGATTTTTTTTTTTTTCTTTCGGGTGCAGCAGACGAAATCTTTGTGGGATTCGTTCGCCGTGCGATTCCTTTGCAGTTATGTTTGTTCCGCTTGCTGTTCTGTACTTCAAGATGAGTTGTTTTGTACATTTAAGTGTTGGCAATTAGTAGTGAGTGCCCGTTGTGAATTCCCGTGATCGGCTCCGAAAAGAATACTCCCAAGATGTTGCGTGAAGAGCTGCCTCACATGTCCTGCATCTGAAAGTGACATTGCACGACAGAGGTGTCAAAAATGGAATGCCATACCATCTAGTTCGGCGACGTATCGTCCACAACAACTGATTTTTCAGTGATAATTGTAAAAAAAAAGAAATGTAAACATCGCAAAATGTTTGAAAAAAAAAAGTGGTACGCCCACACTAAGGATTGAACCCGTGCCCGCTGTGTGTGAAGCGGACGTCTTTCTACTGATCTACTGAAGGAACTTTTTCGTTCGTAGTAATGCAGCCGGTCGACTGTATGTCCGAAAGTTTGCTGCCGATTTCCCTCCAGTACATGCACTCCCGGCTTGAAGTCGGACAGCACCACGCATTGGGAGATTCGCACCTACTAAAGAAACCATATGCATGCATATTCAACTCGAAGTACGCACTTCGTGCTTGACGTTCGAGCGAGCAATGTCTTCAGCCACGAGAAGGGACGACGGCTTTGTGACGTCTTCGTGCAATCAGCTTGCTGGTCGGGCGTGTCGCACGGGAGGGATATCAATTTTTTTGGTCGGTCCAAAATTTCTCTTTCGAAGGAAGACAGAATTCGCCGGTACCGTGAAAGACAGTTCTGAAGTAGAGGTCATACTCCCGTTGTCCGCTGCCACTTGCGAGTCCCATGAAACGCGAAACGATGCCATGTTGAGAATTATGCAGTGAACACACAGAATGCTTCTGGTTGTCTGCACAACCTTTTTTTTTTCAATCAACGTATTTGCAGCTTTTTGGAAGCCACAAAAAATGGGTTTCATATTTTTTTTCTATTTTTTTAGTATTGACTGTGTGCCTTCAATGAACCACGACTTTGATTAAATTTGGTGGTCGTGTATAAATCTTAAAAAACGGCCCATGACCACAGAAAAGAGAGTGAGCGCGACTCAAATCGGCCGGTTCTCGATCTGTGGTTTTCGGGCGGAAACAAACCGAATTTTGAGCCGCAAATTCTGTTCCGGGTAGTTGGGCTCCCATATGTCACGTACAAGTAAAAACCTCGGCAAGCATAAATAATACCCCGTCAGTGTCCCTTTAAAGGACCGCCAACCACCCCGACTTCGACGCTCTTTATTTTATTGTATAAAACGCTTTCTGAAGCGCATTACGTAACCGCCAAAAAATCTTTAATTGCAAAAAAAAAAAAAAAAAAAATGAACTAATAAACTCTTGACTTTTTTTTTTTTTATGACATAAAAGTTTAAGTATTTTTTGGAAATTTAGAGATAAGGTATTAGTGACGAGGCAAAAGCCGTCTAATGTTCTTTATTTTTTGGTACTCTCAATATGACAGCGCATGAAGATTGTGCTGAGGCAAGCTGAGGGCACTGTGAGGGATGGGGACAACTGGAAAGTCAACCACAGTTCTGACGAGTTTTCTTTTTTTCTTTTTGGTGCCTGATAATCTTTGGCATTTTTAGAGAGCAGTTTTTCTGGCGATCAAGAATTTTGAGTCGTCCCTCGTGACATTCACCAAGAATGCAGAACATCAAATTCTTAAATACCTTTTTTAAGAAAAAAAAAAAAATTGTACAGGTTTGATGATGTTGACGAAGACCAAGAAGTACAGAATCTGTTCCGTACAGACCATATTCTGTGTGCAATTTGTGCTAGGCAGCTAGAGTTTTTATTAGTTTTGTCATCTATTTTTTTATCTATTTATTTATTTATTTATTTTGTCTTGTTTAAATTTAATTTATTATTGAATTTGTATTCTTTTATTTCAATTTAATTTATAATTTACTTTTTAGTTTATTTTATAATTTTTAAAAAAATTATTTTACCATTTGAATTTATTACCTTTATTCAAAACGCGCTGCTTTTGTCGGCACATTTGTATTTAAATAAAATTACTCGTCCTCCTGTACTATTTCCTGGTACTATTAAATATAATTGCTATACTTCTATTTAATAGTACTATTACATGTGAGAGTTTACTTACGTAGTATTGACTTTCATGTGCCCGCTAGAGCTAGTCGTCATTCCTTAACATTTTACCCCCACAAAATCTGTGAATCATTGCTATTATATAAAATGCAGTGTGCTTTAAACCAGCTTGCCTGTTTATAAACCTTGTCTTCTGTTTTTGTTAGCTTGTATATATTTGAACATTTTCTGATTCATAAAATGCAACTGTCCATCCAGAGAATTTCGGTGAGATGTCAAGCGTGTTGATATTTCCCTAGTAAACACGGGACTGCCAAACTTCGTGCCTTTCACCTAGCGTGCGAGAAGGCTCCTTTTAGTGCCCAGATTTATTTACGCTCACTGAATCACAGTTCCCAGGGGTGACTTAATTCCTTGAGGAATCAGTCCTAGCATTGAAGTCCCTCGATGCATCAACACACAGTTTGTTGTTGATTTTTAAAATTTACAGTTTGTCACGTGTCTTGGGAAGCTCTGGCAAAATTTTGATAGTCATTGATGTGCCTCAAATTTGGTTTGACAGATTAGTAGACATATCTGAACTAGTAATCCAAAGTACAAGTTACAACAAATGTCTTTTTTTTCTTTCAAAGTTATTGAAGTTTAAAGTTTGGTCTGAGAGCAACACCGAAAACATGTTGCCGATGTAATACGCTACAGCTTCTTCCCGATGAGTTACAAGAAGTTTGATTACGTGAGACTAATGCTGGTTAAGCTCATGCCAGCAAAACGAAAAAAGAAAGTGTGAAATACAGCGTTTTGCAGACTGCCTGTTTGACTCGCAAGTGATTCGACATGTGACGTCACCCCACTGGAGAGCACGGGAAAATTTGAATGTTGGTTTTGGCATCACCTTCATTTGCTTTTATTTTGATAGCTGTTCTGAATTTAGAGATAATAAATAGTAGCATGCAGGGAACAGTGAAGCTGGGTTATTCTGAAAATCTGCTTAGTTTGGGTAGATCAAGAAACCACAGGAGCTCCCATTTAAAGGGATGCTCCGGCCATTTTTAACCTGAAACATTCTTTGGCTAGGTGTTCGGAATTTCATGAAGCGCAGAAGTGAAGCCCGGATAAATGCATGGCCGTGAGGCTTGAAACTGATTGGTTGACGGGTGGGCAAGAAGGAGCGAGGTGCTTGACGCTGCTTGGTTGACAATGAAGTCATGTTACCAGAGGTGAAGTGACGAGGAGAGGTAGGCGAGGAGGCAAGGTGGGAGAGGAGGAGTGGGTTAGAAATTTCTAGAATATCACCAGGTTTATCATTTCAAGTGTAAACTTTTTATGTGTTAAATTATCTGATGAAGAGCGTTGGGAACGTTGGCGTCTGGCTGAACAGGCTAGACGTCCTGCTAAACGGCGATAAGAACGTTTGTGATGCTAGAAGGTTTTACGTATGCAACACAATTGCCTAGCAATTTGTCGTACATATATTATCTACCCCAACTAACTATATTTTCTGAATCCCTGGCCTTTACGGTTTCTGGTGTGCTATTTAGTATCACGAAATTCAGAATAGTTATTGTGAAATCGGCAAATGAGAAAGATGCCAAAATCAACATTCAAATATATCCGTGCCTTTCAGCGCCGTAATGTCAGTGGCAAGCAGGCTTGCAAGCCGAGCAGGCAGTCTATAATATTGGCTGTGCCAAGCTCTTGTTTCGTACTGCTGCGTGGGTGCGAACTTCCAAGGCATTTATTTGACACCCTGAACCTGCTCATAATCAGTTGGGAAGAAATCCTGCATTCCCTAAAGTGAACTTCTGCCTGCCCTTGGCATCACTTTTTTGTCGTTGTCAGTAGAAACTTTCACTTTGGTAAATACGGTGTGGATCAAAATTGTAAATTCAATGTCTTTGCAAAAAAAAATTATTCTAGCCTAATAGTTGGGTTACTATTTCAGCAATGTCTGTTGGTATGTTTCGCAAGTCTTCGGACACGTCGGGGACTATGAAGAAAATGGCGGAGTACCCCTTTTAGGCCTAGTATAAAAAGATTGTCCCATTTACAGCCTGCTATTGTTCGTTATAACAGGACACTGCTGTGGAGTTCAGGCATAAAATTGGCTTCCTGTCACCTCGTACCATACGCATGGGACGTTATTACATGGCATCTTTTCTATTATAAAAGCATTACAGGAGAGCAGCTGTCGGCAGCGGTGCCGGACGAGAGCCGGTCCCTGTTCGGGAGGCGGGACCTGGTAGACTTCGTCATCCTGATCGACTGGAGGAGCAGGGACGTCCCCAGCGTACCCACCGTTCCCCTCAGAGTCCTCAAGGATGCCATCTGGAAGGTGCGTATAGCACCTTGTGATTTCGCAGAAACGCCATTTGAGTCGTGAGCCCACGCACCTTTTGGCCCGTGGCTTTGGACGTCGCTAAGACTACACTTGGTTCATCCCCTAGGCTGAGACTGCGGTGGGAGCTACGTGTCTGCCGAACCAATTAGCTGCCCTTCTTTCAACGCCTAACCCGGCTCGCTGAGCGTGGGTGTGGGCGGGAGCGTGATCACGTGGCGAAAGAGAGACGTGTGACTCGACCAACGAGGACATAGGTTCCACTGTAGTCTCAGCTTGGAGGTGAATGGAGTATAGTAGTGGCTGGATTGGATCATTAATGTCTTTTGTGCATTGCAAGACTGGAACATGAAGGCCATTTCTAGTATTAAGGGCTGTAAGCACCGTATTTACACAAATGTAGGTCGACCCATTTTTCAATTCTTGAAAATCTGATGGGGGGGGGGGCGTCGACTTATAATGGAACGGAAGCATTCCATTGCCGACAAAAACGAAACATTCGCAATATCATGAACACCTCGGCTTGTTACGAGTTCAGCAGGCTGTAGCTGTGGCGTTGCACTGTTCTGTGCGCTCATTTTACGAGTTCTTTTTTAATTTTTTTTTTATTTGTGCGAACGATCATTATTGATAGCGATTCGCAAATTAGCTTGAATGTGCGGCGGTGAACAGCGCACGGTGTGCCCGACTCCCGGGGTGGCGGCACTTCTTGTAAGAGCCACTCTGGAAGTCGCTTGAACAGCCTCACGCCTGACTTCCCGCAGCTTCTTTTCACAGTTTTTCGCACGATTCATGCTTGTACGTCGTTTGATAAAGTGTTGAGATCATGCTGGAGCGCCAACTACATTCTTTTGTATTGACACGCGTGATTCCGGCAGTTTAGGTTTTCGGTGCTTGTTTATGGCCATTCTTCATCCAGAAGCAACCAACAACTGCGCTGCTGGATGCAAGTTTGACCCGTTAGAGCGGGTGGTGCTCCAGTGGAGTCTGCGATGGTGCGGGATCTTAACTGTGACAGCGAACAAAGAGGCTTCTGTAGGCCAAAGTCTAGATAGGTGGGGATGCCTTCCGGGGTTGGAGGCCAGGCTTGCAACGTATGCACGGAAGTGCACAATCGGTCCTTACCCGTGATGTCAAACGCGATCACCGAACAAGCGCAGAAGGTGCGGTTGATGTTATCATTTGCGACGTGCGAGATTTCATTGGACGACGCCGACGACATGCTTTGAGAATGTTGCAGTGATGACAACGGAACTGACGTCACCGGTGCATACGAATTGTAGTCTCTAGTCGCAGAGTGAGAACGACAGGGAGCAGCTTCAGTTGTCCTGCCTCCAGCATGAGTTTTCCTCGTTTCAATAACGCCTGGGCATCTCACGCGCCTCACACTTGCATGCGCAGCCAAATCACGCCAGAAGGCGTCAATCGCATGCTGGAGTTTGGGCTTTCAAAAGAGATACCCATACCCTGCCTTTCTCACGTGTTCGCTGTAAAATCTGCCTCTATTAAGGATTTCTTTTTTTTATGCGTGATGTGGGGGGATTGACGTACAATAGAGTCGACTTACAATCGTGTAAATTTGTGTAAATACGGTACAGTGGGTTCTGTAGTGTGGTGGGCACTCAAGTGTTTCGGATGCTGTCGGTTCCTTTATATGGGACACCTTTAGTAGGGGGTAGCTTTTGTATGACAGGTTTCTTTTGTATGGGACACCTTTCGTATGGCAATATTTCGTAGTATGGGACACCTTTAGTAGGACAGGTATTTTTTAGTATTTTATACCTTTAGTGTGACAGGTTCCCTTAGTATGAAACACTTTTAATAGGACAGGTTTCTTTTGCATGGATACCTTTTATATGAAAGGTTCCTTCAGTATGAAACACCTCTACTTTGACGGCTCCCAAGTAAGAGCTTGTTTTGCCAAAGAAACCTGAGAGATATCATCGCTCAACAATACAATTGAAAAGTACTGATTCAACTTGAAAACGATAAAGTTTGTCGAATGCATGCAATTATGGAAATTAGTTGTCTGCTCCTCGTTGGTTTGCTAAGGGCTTGAGGGACGTTTCCTGCGGAAATGCTCGCTCACTTTGCCCCTACGTGTCTTTGTTTTTTGTTCTCGGTGCTCGTCGACCGTTGTGTGGCACACCGGCAGTGGTGCACGAGCAAGCACCTGAGGAGCGAGCCGATGGTCCTGATCGGAGGCTACGAAGATTGGCTCCTGCGCTACCCAATGCACACGACCTACCCACACCCCAGGATTCCCACCCCTCCCGGCAGCCCCCACCCACCTGACCTCGGCTTGGGTAAGCCACCGTCCGCGTCTGCAGAGCCCATTGTGTGACATCCCGAGACGCACTGTGGAAATCTGCACGTCATTCAAAAGAAACAATTGCGGAATTTGTTGGTTCTGAGGTTTGACGCGCTGCTACGGACTCTTCGAAAGTCATCGCATCAGCTAATGCCTTTTTGTACTGGCAGTGCCGTCATTTCTGCCAGGAAGAAAGTGCTTATTCCGAGCACTAGCTAAGCAGAGTGAAAACACGGTTTCGTGGACTCTTTTAAGATAGTGAATTTTTTAACGATTTCATTCATTTTCTATTCAACGAAACCTATTAACCGAAGGCACCATTCACTTTGCATTGGCCTGCAAGAGATCCTGCGAACCTCCTTGAAAAGCGATAGGGATATGTAAGAAAGGACCTCGCACCACCGTGTCTAAAATCCCGTAACTTTCTCCCTCTTTTGTAGCCATCATTGACTTCCCCGACCTGGACAGGGACTTTGAGCAGAAGGCGCCCAGCTCCCAGCAGAACGCCACCCCTGGCAACCACGGCCCGGCCTCGGGGTCCGGCAACGGGTCGTGGCAGCTGATGCCCTCTGTGGACCGTACCAAGAAGCCCAATGTCCCCAACGGGCCCACGGTTGTCAACGACGTCTCGTACAGGGTCGTCAATGGAACCTCGCTTGACTCCTTGGCAGACACGCCGAAGGCGAACATTCCTCAGGTCAGGCCCTCTTGACAGCAAGCGATACTCTCTGAGTGAGAACATGCAGCACGTCGAACGCCGTGACGTGATTGACCAGAAAAGGTCCTGTCGACGCCTGTCCAAGTAGCCCATGCTGACAGCCAAACAATGCAACCGAGAAAAAGAAACAAAAGTGTTTTGTTTTTGTGGCACTTGGGCGCACGCGCCTTTTGCTCGGCATGTGTACCCTAACCTCGACGGACGCTGGCTCGAACACTGGCCCAGATATTTCAACGCTTAAATTTGGTCATAAAACCGTTCTCGCCGCCAGCGAGTCACGAAACGAGGGCAAATGACGAAGCCAAGCCCAAGCAGCACGCATAGCACTAGTGCCAGGCTCTACCCGACGTGCACATTTAGAAAACAACTTTAAAAACGAGCATGACTTTCATAGAGAAGCGTGGGAAACTGGATCCGAAACAGGCTACCACTAGCTTTTCATCGAAGAGATGCTCGGTGGCATGGCTTGTAACCGAGGCAAAGAGAGAAAGGACTTTGTCTGGTAGCTGCGACTTTCACGGCACCCATGCCTATATACAGGGTGTTTTACGAAAGGTAGACAAATTTGATGTTGCGAAAACTATGCATCGCACCAAAAAAAGGCTTGTGTCGCTTTGGTCCTAGGCTGGGGGCTCATTTAGGAAAGTTATTAAAGTTTGGGAAAATTAAGTTAATCATTTTTGCATAATTAACTTCTTAAATATTGAGTTTAAGGGCATGATTTCAATTAGAATCTTGCTGAGCATCATCAAAAAACTCTAAATCAACAGATTGCAGAACGATAGAAGGCACGCACGGTATTTCACGGCTTTCTGAAAAGCTGCACAACTTCAACGGGTTTCTAAGTTTCGGTTTGCAATTGGAGCGCTTCCTGACTCCAATGGCCCCGCACTCTATGGAGAAATAGTGCAACCAGCCTCTGCTGTATTGCGCGAGGACAGCGCAGCAGAGGTTGGTTGCACCATTTCTCCACGGAGTGCGGTGCAGCCTTTTGATTTGTGCGGAAG